ACCAACAGACGCTGTGAAGCTCCACAGTGAACACACCACTTTGTCTTCCTCTCTCCCTCTCACTCGCTTCCCGGCGTTTCTCATTTCCCCCAAACCCTGTAAAACAAGATAGACAGTGATAGAATACAACAGGGAGAGAAAGATAAACGATAGGACAAGTGAAAGATATGGATTGGGGAGATAAAATAACTCCTTCATTTGGGTTGAGTCTGAGGAATAAATGCAGTGTGTGGGCAGATGCTGCCGGCAGTTCACAGTCTAGCTTATAGTAACTGCATTATGTAATCTATGAACATTTCCATCTGCAGCTGTGGCACTGACGCCGGCTGAAATGAAGTCCTGAGCTGTTGATTGACCACAGAGTGGTGTGAGTTGGTGGTCTCTGTATTTTGATATTCTCTGAGCAGCCTTTCTTTTCATTAATTTCATAAACAAATGTCCTTTCTGTTTCCTCACAAAGTGAGTCACTGCCTCTTTGTGATAATCGTGGAATCACTGGTTTTGTAATGTAGCTGGATTTAGCCATTTTCACTGTTAGCTGTATGAAACAGGCAAGGAAAGACAAAATGTAGTGAGAGCATGTAACTAAAGGAAATTAGGAGTACGGCTGGAGTCCTCAGCTTTGACACAGTGAAACGTGGGAAAACAAAACTACAAATTTGCTGTGGTTAACAACACGGTGGTCGATAAGCCTCATCGTGTTTCCCTTCAGAAGCAAAAACTGGAGATTGGAGATGGGCTGCTTGCGGCGAAGTGTTGGATTTTGTGTGTGTTTGTGTGTGTGCGCCTGCGCGGCAGGGTGCTGCTCATCTGCAATGAAGGTGGCAGAAAAGAAAGACAAATGTCTGAAGAGGCAAAGCGGAGCAGCGAGTAGACCTTTCCGCTGAAAAGGTCGTCCAAATACCTCCAATTTCCAGGCTAATCAGAGAGGGACGGGTTGGACACCAATCGGCTGGTCAGAAGGTTGTGAAAGGTCACTAAAAGGTTATAGAGGTCACATTGTCCTGGCACAGATCACCTGTCCATCATATTTGCGAATGACCTATTCTTGCAAGGTGAGTGAGCAAGCGAGCCAAAGAGGGGTTTATTAATGTATACAACACCGAGACATTACCGAGACATTTTCATAGGTGAGACCAATGAAAATAGGCACAGTTCATCTGCTCAAGAAAGAAATTAGCCTCACACGAGCAGATAATAAGGGGGAAATATGCAGTTCGTAGTGATGATGCAGGGAGGCTGGGAGGACGAACTAGAGGGGCAGAGGGAAGAAATGTGTTTACAATTAAACAAATTCATTTATATTATGCATCATCAGGAAACATGAACAGCAGCATACCAAACTGCCTATTGCAGTCGGATGTCCCTGATGATTTATCATTCATCTCCATAATACAGAACTTTATTTACACAAGCAACTGCTGCAGTTCACAATCAAAAGCCAACAGTTCCCTATTTCCTGGTATTTACTTAAGGTTTTGGTGGTTCCATCCACCAACCAGTTTTAATCATGAAATACAATCCCCAAACAATGGTTGGTTACCTGCCAAAATTACCCGTAAGTCGATAATACTAAACAACAGATGGACAGATGGTGGCTGACCGGTGTTGACATCACAACCAGGAAGAACATGTTTTGCCCGAAGGTTTCACACACAGAAGTAAAACTTTGTTTCTAACGACAGACAACAGGAGGTGTGAATATTATTAATAAATGGTGAGAGGATCTGTTTGATTTTGCTGGCTAATGTTCCACTGTCAGGTAACAATGAAGGATGATCCCCTCCGGAAATGTTCAAAGACATTTAAAAATAATATTCCTTGAATAACAATTAGTGTCTCCTATCCTTCTTGTTCTGCGTCGTTTAGAAATACAGAATGCAATGAATATGCAAATTCAGTCATTTCAAGTTTCAGTTAAACTACTGATCTCAAGATGCCTCCTACTTTTCCTGAAAAGGCTGTTTGTGACCTATGTCCACTAAAAGGTTCAACCTCCCTCAATATACTTGGATACTTATACTTATATACTTGGATAAGGGTTGGCTACAAAGCCACAATTGTGATGTTACAAAATAATTCTCCTTGGCGTTAACCTGAAGATGTTATGTCCAGCCCTGAGTATTAAGTTAAGTTGGCGGGCTATTTATAATTCTTCGGTTATGTGTTATTGTTTACTCACCTCTCGTTTCAGACTCCTCACTCCCTCCCTCAGGTGTGTGGGTTCCACCTGGGTGATTGTCAGCCCCTCCCTGATTGTTTGCACCTGGCCCTCATCACCCGGTGTATTTAGTCTGTGGGTTCCTGTCCTCTGTTGCCAGTTCGTCTTTGATACAATGTTCCTAGCGTTCCAGCATTTACTCCTGATAGCCTCCCTGTTACCGACCCCTGCCTGGTTAACGAGTTACGTCTCTGCCTTTTCCCTGCCGGATACCTTGCCTGGTGATCGACTGCCTGCCCGTGTACCGACCTTGGACCGGAACGTTTACGAACTTTGCACCTGCCTGCCTCCTGTCGGATTCTTACACCCGTGTTTGTACTGCCATCCAACAGTAAAATTGGTTAACTGCACCTTCTTGTGTCTCCGAGTCATGCAATTGAACCCACACACTTGTCTGAGAGGCAATTGGAGGCAGCTGGGTGGACGGGGCAGGTGAGTAGGCAGAGTGCAATCAGGGGAAAGACAGACACACAAACACACACACACACACACACACAAGGCTAACGAGACGTCACAGAACCCCCACCCCCCTCTAAAGCTGGCTCCAGACGGCCCAGACAGGTCTGGGTTACATTTGTAGAAATCCCTGATGAGGGAATGGTGGAGACAAAACTCCTCGCATCTGGTCCATTACCCTCCCAGTCGACCAGGTACTGGCGACCCCGACCACTTGGGCGCACCGCCAGCAACTATTTAACGTTATAAACCTCACCACCGTCGATGATTCGATGGGGTGGAGGGGGGAACTAATCCTCCTCTTACTGGCGAGCCGAGTATTTTAACGGACATCTGGCCAGGAAGTGTTCCAGCTGCTCTCATCCTTTAGTCGACGTGATGCTCCTCCGGTGAGAGACGAGACAAGTTGCATGGGCTCCTCTTGCACATTAGGGAGGACAGTCGATCCTTGTAGAAGCGTAGCGGTTCGAGTGATGGTTTGGTCATAGGTCTGGCCGACGTGATGAAGAGGGTAGCTCCTGGGGCTCCGGAGATCTCCTCTTGGCCTGGCGTCTCTCCATCTCTCTTGCATAAAGCCGGTTATCAATTTTGACTACCAGAGCCACTAAGCCTTCAAGGTCTGTTAGTAAGTCAAGAGGCGCTAATTGTTCCTTGATCTCCCGAACCAGAAGGCGTCTGCCATGGAAGGAAAGTTGCACTGTCTGTCTGCTGCTAGGGTGCGGAAGCGAATGGCATAATCAGCCGCCCGGCTGCTCCCCTGGCAGAGAGAAAAAAGTCCTCGAGCCGACTCACTACCTGGGACCCGGTGGTCAAACACCCTTGTTAGGGCCCCGGCAAAATCCACAACAGATTGGCAAATGGCAGTTTGATTGTCCCACTACGCTGTAGCCCATTCCCTTGCCCTCCCTGAGATGTTAGTAATGATGAACGCCACCCTGGACTGTTTGGTGGGGTAGGACAAGGGTTGGAGGTCAAAGGTAAGTGAACATAATGATAAAAAAGAGCGACACAGCGTTGCCGTCATAGCTCTCAATTCGAGGTACGTGCTGCAAACCGCTGGAGCTGGTGGACCTGTCGGTGCTGGTTCCGCCCGACGGCTGAGATCCTGCAGTTGGTTTGAAATGCATTCTGGTGAGCGTGAAGCGCCTCAACCCCGCTGTCTAACCCGGAGAGCAGCTGTTCGTGGTCGTATAGGCTCTTCCCTTGCGTTTGAAGGGCGGAGCGCATTGCGCTGTCCTCTGCTGAGTCCATCAGATTGTAGTGTCACGTTTCACGTCTGGATGAGGACTCAAATGGAGAGATTTGACACTGGAGACTAGATTTAACTTGAAAAAAAAGGTTCATTGGTGAACAAAAGGAAACTCAAAACAACACGAAAGCGCAAAATCCACAAAAAAGGGCAGTCACAGTCATTAACAAAATACAGGGAATTTTCACAGACACATGAGGCTAACGAGACGTTACAAGTTGTACAACTTATTTATTAACTTACACAGCTGATGACAGCATGTTTTTCAATAAGTTCCATGTTCTTTTATTCCAACGTAATAGTTCCGGAATCAAAAAAAAAATGTGTGAGGGAACAGACGAGTATGATTCACTCAAATTACACACCTTGAGTGCAGAAGGCTATAGAGAGAGAGGGAAATCTCGTTTTCAGCTATTGTTTTCTGAAGAATTTTCAAGTTTTAACAGCCTGTGGCCGCATGGTAAGTTCATTAATTTGTTGATCCTTTTTGTTAGTTAGCTGAAAACATAATTAAGTCTTTCTCGACGGTTAAAGTAGTTATAAATGTGACATTCAATAATAAAAAACACATACATTTTAGTGTAAAAGGGAACACAGATAAACAAACACACACGTAATTTGATCCTTATATTTATATGGTTGCCAAGAAAAACGATAGTGTACAGTGGCAGGAATGTAAATACGTATATACTTAAATTAAGAAAGTTTGTAACCATTTTACAGAGTTGATGTGATTATTCTTTGATTCAATCAAAGATCACATGTAAATGAATGTGTTGTGTTTGGCAGTTGTTTTCAGGTAAATATCAGATGGTCTAAAAATGTAATCAGAATATCCACTCCTTCAGGATTACATTTGTGATGAGGATCGTTCGATGACGAAATTCAGAGAGGCCATGTCCAGACTTACCATAACCATAAGTGGACCAATGAACCACCCGTCCAGGAGCTCCCCTGAGCCCATGGTCATTGATGGTGGGCCTCTGTCTAAGACACAGGAAAAAATACCAGAGGCCAAAAAGAAGGAGGCTCCCTTTGTAAAAAGGGATGAAACCGGTGACTCTGGGGCCACTGGAGGAGGATCCACCCAGACATCACTGAAAATTAAGCAAAGACGTGCCTATAAAAGAACATTCAAGGATGTTAATCCAGCCGGTATTAGACGGTAAGGGTTCCCTGTATGGATGATCTTTTGCAATAGTCCTGATATTGAAATGGTTTTTTTTTTATACAAAAGGACTCACAGCTCTGGCCCTGAAAAAAAGAGGAGACGAGTGACAAAAAACATTACGAGAGATAGGGGAGACAAGGCGGTGCAGGTTTCAGAGGAACCCAGGTAGCTAAATGTGGGGTGGTTATTAGGTAGCACGACTTTCAAAGCTTTATAGAGACTCATTTGTTTTGGCAGTTTGTCACTAAACATCCTCAGCTCAGGTCGTGCATGAACTGTTAAGTGTAGCTATATTAAAAGAAACTGAAGAATCTTAAAAAAAAATTTGAAAAAGACTTTCTCTTTAGACACACAGGACACCCTCTTCACCATGTGATGAAGACCTGGATGAAAAGGACTCCTAGAGTGTGTTTGTCACAGAAATGGGGAGAAAGTGGACTAAACAAGAACAGCAGCCGGCTCAATGTCACTTCACACCTTTTCAATGAAGAGAGCGAAGTGGACGGAGAAACCAGAACAACCATCACTGAGTGAAACATTGCTGGTTCCCTTCCTGTGTTTGTATTCATCAACTGCCTGTCTGCATTTTATTTGGGCCTATCTTATTGTATATTGTTACATAAAATGTATTGCATAATACTATATCATAATGTATACTAATTAAGTGCTACTATATTGTTTTGCATTGTATTAATGGTATACTATCATTACATTATTATTACATTGTGTTATATTGTTATTAAATACCATAAGTTCATATTGCCTTACCTAAAGTGTCTTCCTATCTCACAGTTCATTTAAATCTAAAGATGCCTCTCTGCAATTTTAGTATATGTATAATGTGAATTATCTCTAATCAAACCCACTCACACAACAGTAACAAGTTTTCTTATTGACCTGAACATAAAGGGCCTCTCACCCCTCCCTTCATAAGATCAACTCTATGCTTTAATGATTTGTCAGAAACAATCATTGTGGTGTATAAATATATCAAAGTGTAAGATGCTAAATTAAACCTGTGGGCAATGTGTGCATAACTGGCATAAATGTATGCAACTGCATATTTAGCTGCATCTTCATGATTATTTTGAATTGAATGGATTTCATTATTTTACTTGGCTGGATTTTTTGGTAAGGAAATAACAGATGGAAGGGAGGTATCTTGCGGCCAGATGGCTCCACCCGCCACGCCTTATATGGACTTCCTGCCTAAGGAGGCGAGGGTGGGAACAGTTTAGTGATTGAGGAGAGCACAAAAAGGGAGAAGAGGAGAGAAAACCGGGAAGACCAAGTGAGACGTAGTTTCGAAAAGTAGAGTACAGAAGATTTAACCAAAGTGTGAGATTCACTGGATTAACCTGGACTGGCTGACTACCCTCCATGTTAACCTGGATCCAAGATTGCATTCTTCACTAATTGTATGGTTGCTTCCTCATTGTTGCCGTTAAGACAAACTAAACTGAGACCAATTCCTGACCAAAACCGGAGTTCGTCGAGACCAAAACCAGGACTTTGTCCGGGTCGGATCACCCTCGAAACCGTCTCTAGACCAAGCCTGACCTCAAGCACTGCATCTAGATCTAAAAATAAAACATGATTGTGCTCCAAAACAGTCAATTTTCTGATATCATTTATTTTTTGGAGGAAGAATTTTTTGTTGATTGCAGAGTTTGTGCAGCTATTCAGGACACTATAAAGAAACGAACTCTGATGGCATGGACCGAAACAAGCACTGCTGATGTCTTCGCTTTTGAATTTCATTGTAAAATCAACATAAATGATTAGCATTCAGGAGCAGATACTTAAGCACTATGCAGGGATTTTACTAAATTATTCCTTCAATGTCATTGAATGGGAAAACATTGGATTCATTCAGTCACTCTGAAGAAAGCTCAAAATGGAACTAATGGCAAAAGTGAGAGTCATTTGAAATTTGTTGTGCTTTTTCTGTCAGCATACTGTATTTTTGGAGAAAAGTTCACACATTTATAAATATGACCACAAGAAAACCTCATGGACTGTCAAAGGAAGGTGGGAAATGGAAACATACCGACGGCTCAACATACTAAATGTATGGTTGGTAGTTAGTTTGCAGGAACATCATGAATGCCAATACGAGAACAGTTCGGAAGAAAAATAAAACAGCGGTAGATGTAAACTGGGGGAGAGAATTTAAAGCGCAATAAAAACACTCGGACAATGGAGACAAAAACAAAGTGCGAGTGAGCGAGCAGAAGGAGAGTAGAAGGACTGGATGAGCCAAACCTGGCAGCAGAGAGAAAACAGGATGCCGTTCTGTCCTTCACGCCCTCAAAATGCTACGACAGAAAGACATTTTCAGCTCCACTGCAGGAAATATTAACGAAAAAGAGGCCAAATTCTCACAAAAATAAATTCAAATTTAAAGAAAGAAATCTGACCAAGTAACGCCTCCAGGAAGAGGAACCCTCCCAAAAGACAGCTGAAAACTCCTAGCACGGTCGTATTGACTCTGTTGCACATCCAAACAGATAATCAGGAGAACTCAACATCACTCATCTTAGAGTTAGCCGTGGGTAATTGCCTCAGCAGCTTGATTGAAAAGTTTTCTAAACCCCAAAAAAAACGTAAGAAAAACTTGAGAAAGGTAAGGAAAGAATGATTGATGGAGCTCTGAAGGCCTCACACCATCTGGACCGAGCAAGTTATAGCCAACAATAAAGGAGAATTTCGAGTCTTTCAGGGTATAGCAGAAGAAATATCTGGACCAAATGACACTTGCTGCTCGCCTGTGGTCTGCATGAAAAGAGAATTACCAAGTTCAGCCAAAAATATAACATCTGCTTGTGGAAAAATGACTATAAAAACACACGAGAGAGGTATAAGATTGGTCAGGGAGGTGTATTATTATGTGAAATGATGGCATATTTATGGCGCATGCTGGTCGAGTTGAGGCTCCAACTTTTAACCCATAACAATTACATTGATAGGTTGAACTAAACCTTACATTTCATGGATATATTCACAACGTATTTTGCCATATGGTTTTATCTTAATATGCAGAAAATCCCTCTTGTTGTTTTAATTCCTAATCATCAGAGTTGCACATTGTCCACCTTGCTCAACATTCTCTTGCAAAACCCGTACTTGATTATATTATTATCATTACGAGAGGGAGGTAGTGTGCGTGAATCGTAATTGAGGCTTTGCTAAACAATTGTTGATGCAACATTCGCCTCCATAAAGCATGCTGCATTGCTGAAACTGAATTGAGAGAGAGAGATAATAGGAGCGGAAAACACTCGGACACGAGTGAGAGGATGCGAGCTGAGAGAGAGAGAGAGAGAGGGGGAGAGAGAGGGGGGAGGCTTTCATCATCCACGTCGCGGTGGGAGGGGAGGGGAGGGGAGGAGCGGCTTGCCTCGCAGCTCTCCGGTATCGGACTCAGTGGACGCACCGACTCACACGGACGATCCGCGCTCAGCGCATTTGAGACTCCTGCCGACCCGCGACCCGGAGGACACCGTGGAACTTTCCTCCGGCTTTGGGGGCCGCTCTCGACGGCACACTTAAACGCTTCAATTCGATTGGACATGACACAAAGTCACAAGGCTGATTCCTCGTATTGATTCCCAAACGCCAGATGGCGGTGAGTTGAAATACCGACGAGACACACCGGAGTGTGTTGGGACGGAACCGGGCGCTTTTCTCCCCACTTCGCTCATAACAACAACACGGTTATTTAAAAAAAACAACAACAACTTGTTTTCTACCGCTGGCGGACCTTCTATTTAAAGAATCCTCCGCATCCCTTTCTCCTTCCCCTCACCACCTCCTCCTCCTCCTCCTCCACCCGTCTCCACTTGATAAAACAACAGTCTGCAGCCCGGCTGCCTGGCGGCGGTCAGAGGGGATCAGAACCACAGTTTTCTTAGGCAGCAGCCCGGGATCGGACCCCTCACCGGGATGCTGCTCCAGCGCAGACTCCACTAGACGGTCCAAGAGCCGCTGCCAACATGTTCACGCGAGGTAAGACAACGAGGAATCCACCTGTTTCTGTTGCTGATGCCCGTGGAGCGCGTGTGGCCGCGTGTGTGTGTTTGGCGATGTGTGCGAGTGCGCGCGCTCGAGCGCGTGGGTCCAGATTCTCGGGAGTGCTCGTGTTATTATTGTTTTTGTAATTCGGGAGTTGCCGGAGAGCGTCTCTCGCTGGCGTCCTGACTACTTAAACCAGCTGTGCTTCATACGCCCCGGCGGCCGCGTGCGCAAAGGGAAATTAAATATTTATCATCATCTTCATGTAAAAATGATTCCTAAAATAGCGAAGTGCTGCCGCACTGCAGTCTGAGGGGAGACTGAGCTGCGCGACGACGGCTGGAAACGGCAATAGGAGCACGCGTGAGACTGTCAGGGAAAAAGTTTGCAAATTGCAGCTTTTTTTTCCATTCAAAGTTTTTACCTGTTTTGGGGCACTTTCAGTGGCTTGGGCGCGCGCGCGCGCTCGTGTGGATTGTCGGAAAAGAGGCGCGCAGACACGTGGACAGGAGGTTATTTGGGCTTCTGGGAGAAGAAGGGAGAGGCTCCCTAGATTTGTGGGCAGGAGAAGAGCGGCACGCACCTCGCTGTTCGTTGTCACACTGAGGCGAAGCTGTTTTGGAGCAAAGGGATGTGAGGTTTCACCACAATGACCTTGTCTCACGCCCCCGAACCCCCTCTAGTCACCCCTCCTCCTTGGGAATGCATGTGGGGCAGGAACATGAATGATAAACAGAAGGTCTGATCAGCCTCACTTCTGACACTAAAGTGATGATTATCCAAGTTGATTGAGTCTTCTGCCCCCCCCACACACACCTATCTGCCCCCTCCCTCCTCTGGACTGTGGCTACTGTAAAAGGCAGATTGTCGGTTTGTAAACGACAGGACACGACTGACTGGACCCTGAGAACGTGACAGAGAAACGTCCGTCAATAGAGGCGCTGGAAGTCCATCGTTGGTCACATCGATGCAGGTCGAACCCCCCAGATGGACACGACGCGCACACATCCAAGCGCATCATTCTCCATTAGCTCACTTGGCTGGCCCCAGTCGGGGGCACAAGCCGGGCCATCTCCTCATTAAGGGTGGGACGTAATGGGCTCGACAGAGGGCTGATTAGCGCTGTCATCGTTTGTTTGTGTACGTATGACAGAGCAAAAGAAAGACGGAGCGAGCGGGCTGGATGGAGGCAGACAAGCTTTCAATTTCATCTCGCCGTAAATTCAGACGGACAGCACCCTCATGCACACTCGCCACAGCGGCGATGGCCGATGCGTTGCGCTTTGCATCTCCTCCTGCGAATGTGTGGCTGTCAGTAACAATAATACAATTCACGGTAATTGTGCACAGTCTGTCTGAGATACAGTTATCTGTGTCTGTCACCTTTACCCACCGCATCTCTCTGCGGTGGGATAAAAAAAACAAAAAGGGCGAGAAGTGCTTTTGTGTAATGAAAACTCCCTTTCTCTCCATCTCTTCCTTTCTCTCTACTCGGCCGCCTCCCGCTGCCAGCTCCAGTCTGAGAGCAGAGAGGCCTGGCAGGCTGATTGGCTACTAGCTGGTGGCTTTGGGAAGCTGCCGAAGCTTTGTTTCCCTGCTCGTTTGAAGCTGGATTTGTTTCCCCTCATACTTGACTTTGCCTCCTTCCAACTTTAAGTTGTATCTGTCTTCATCTGCGGCTTTTCACAGTCACACACTCTGTGCACTGCTCGAACATAACACGCGCCAGAGCTCTTTTGTCGAGGAACACACAAATGAAAGCCTTTATTATGCTCGGTCACAGTCTGTGAAAGTTGCATTTGGATTTTTCAGCTGCGCTTGCATCTAACGACTGCTTTTGTTTGCAATTATTTGCCTCATTTGAGACGCTAGAATCAGCAAATATTTAGAGTTTTAGTTTTTTTTTTAAATGATCAATATTGCTGCAGATTAATTGTTGATTAGCTGTTTTGGACAATCATCTAAAATGTTTATTCACACGTCAATTCACACCTTCACTAAACTTATATATAATATTATTTAAATATAAAGCCAATTCGTGTCTAGATAGATATACAACTTCCATTTATATGGAACTATGAATCACTTTAGATTTCAAGTTTTAAGTTTAACCAGATCGGTCGACATTCTGGGTGATTAATGTGAATGACACGTGTGTAAACTCTTAAAATTCTTAAATTGGGAACTTGAACTCCTAAAAGGCGCGACACCGTGTCTTCTTATCTTCTCTCCATAATTTCATTTCATCCTTCTGCTGCTGCCGCCCGTCTGTGAACATATTCGGAAATCCCCAAGAATGTGCAATATTCAGCCATGATAATTTATAGCTATCTTCAGCTCAGCACTAAAAATCCGCTGATCGATATCAGTGGACCATGGTAAAATTGCAACGCACTGTTCAATCTGACTTCAGCCTCAACCTCGCTCGAGGGCCAATGACTTTCTCGGGGTCCAAATGTGAATAAAGTCTGCCCTGATTAGGAAACTCCAGCAGATTCATGGAGTTCCCGCTTAAAGTAATCCTAAACGAATGAAAACGTTGTCCTGATTCAACCCAAATATCTTCATGTATGATGATCCGTTAGAAACGTTGACACTTTTTTAAGTTATTCGTGCTAATTAGTTGGAAATGCGTCATGAAACCCGCTTTCTCCTTTTATCTGACGGCTTTGCGACAAGGACCGACGGCACATTCCTTACCTCGTCTCTCCGAGCTGACAGTTGCGTTGGCACACACGCGCTCTTTGCCTGCAGGCTGTTGTCAAGTCTATACCCAAAACAATTAGAAGCTGCTGTAGCCGAGTGTGTTTGCTTACTTGCATCGTTGATAACCTTGGTGGATGATAATAACATATGGATTAGTGACAAAATGTTTATTCGGGTCGGGAGGCACCAAATGGCGGGGCTAATTGAGTGCTGAGATTGATCCAAATTTTCTTTTGCAGTAACGGCATCCTGAGGCAGTGGACAGATTCTGCAGATTAGGCAGCGGCACACAATATAGGGAATGTGACACTTGTGCGTGAATTCTGTAGCTATATCACATTAGAGGACGTGGGATTCGATGACTGGAACGGAATCATGTAATAATCAATTACATCTGTAAATGCAAGTCACAGCGCAGAAGAGCCGAAACGCCTCGCCGCACACGGCGAGCGTCCGTGCGATGGCCCTGCATATCAATGACCTCTGCAAGGGCTCCTTGCGCTTGATCTCAAGGTCACTCACAGACGCCTTTCTTCTGCCCTGAGCTCAGTGCGGCCGGCCTGCCACGGGCCCGCTGGAATGCGTGTGCCGCTCACATCCGACACGCCGCGCTGAAACGCGTTAAAATAATTACGAGGGACTGATGTTTAACAGCTCCGAGCTTCTGAAGCGACAGACTCTCGCAAACGCAATGCAAAAAAAAAAAATGAAGAAAAAGAAATACTAAAAGAGCAGGAACTGTTTTGATGCAAAACAAACTACTGGAAATGATGCTGCGCAGAGCATGAAATGGCCTTTCACAATGGCCCCGTGGTTATTCATTCCAACTCTCTCACCAAACAAAGCTCTTCCCATTATCTTTATGGACAAACATGCTGTCTGGCTCTTTCAACAGTTGAGAGAGTTAGCTATTGCACATTTTATTTTCTTAAAAATAATAAAAGCAGCAACTACCATAAGGCGAGCCAAATGAAATGGGTTATTTATGGACCACCGCCTGCTGCTGCTGCAGTCAAGTTGATGCTGTTTGTTGTTTAATTGTTTGTAAATACGGTGCTCTAATTTGCTTATGAATCACAATGTTTCACCTTGAGAGTGAGACGCAAGCACACACACACACACACACACACACACACACACACACACACACACACACACACACAGCAGGAATGTCCTTTGTGAATAGAAGGCCCAATCAAATGAGACATTCCTCCCCATCAGGAGCCCTGCAGAGGCCTCGGATTGCAGGTTCACTCAGCAACAGCCAGGCAAGTTGTGCACGTATTGCGTGCACTTGATAAATAGAGACAGATTTGGATGCATGTGTGTGTCAGCACACGTGAGCACGAGAAAGTTTCTGGATGAAAAGGATACAAATGCGCACGACCACATAGCGAGAACAGTGATTACGAGCAGTCGGTGGGTGAGTGTGTGCGTTAGTGCACGAGCCTCAGGAAGTAAATGTAAATGTGGAGGACTCGAGACAAGCAGAAAGGAAAGTAAAGTGTGATAGACAGAAGGATGGACAAAGGAAGGAAATGTGTCATTATTCGGATGTAGGAATGAACACAAAATGGGAGAGAGAGAGAGAGAGAGAGAGAGAGAGAGAGAGAGAGATGCTCTGGCTTTCATTATTCAGAGCGCTGTGGGAGGGGGATTGAAGCGTCCGAGAGACAGAGAGAGAGAGAGAGAGAGAAATAAAGAGAACATTGTGGGAGTGTGTGTGTGTGTGTGTGTGTTTGACACTGTTTGGACCAGGAACCCTGATATTTCCCAGCCTCCAGAGGAAGAGACAGTTGGAAAGAACAATCGCTTGCAGCAGCATCCTTGTTTTCCTACTGAGGTGCACGAGCCACTATTACTCACGTCTTGCTATGCGTCTATGCTAGGGTAGCTTAGTTTAGCATTGGAGTTGTAAGTTGAGGTAAACTGTGCCTAAAGACACCTGTAGCTGTACATACAGTTTATAGATCTGTAAGCAGTTGTGACTGTACGTGGGAAATTAAGTGCTTCATCTATTTCACCAAAAACAGCAATTCGTACATCCGGCCATAACGCATGTTGCACGGTTAGTGATGGATCCAAATGCAGACTCCCACTGAATCCACGAGCAGTTGTTTTTTAATTTGTCATCATGGATTTATTGAACAAAACCCCAAATGTCCAATTAAGGTTTCGGAGCTTTCTCACTTGTTCGGCTAAAATTGATAGTGATATTTTCCCCTCATTCTCAGACAGAAAGCAATGAAGCATGTTTTCCCCAAGAACTGTTGCTTTAAACTAAAGCC